CATGGAACCTTTAGAACATTGGTTCTCAACCTTCCTAATGCTGCAACCCTTTCGTATGGTTTCTCGTGTCGTGGTGACTCCCAACCATAACATTATTTCGTTGCTACTTCATAATTTTGCTACTGCTATGAAATTGTAAATATCTGATATGAAATCTCAAAGGGGTCGCGACCCACAGGTTGAGAACCACTGCTTTAAAAGGTAGCATTTTGCAGATGGAAGTGCGTCACTGAGGGGCAACTCTCAAAGTTTGGCATCGGCTCTCTGCTTCCTAACCATGGACTGAACGTGACCAGCTGCCTCATGTTCCTGTCATCATGCTTTCCCATCCTGATGGGCTGTGACACTTTTTGTTTGTTTGTGTTTTTGAGACAGAGTCTCACTACATAACTCTGGCTAGCCTAGAACTCAACAGAGATCTACCTGCTACTGTCTCCTCCATGCTAGAATTAAAGACACATGCCACCATGCCCGAGATATGTTCCTTTTTAAATCATAAGTCAAAAGGAATCTTCACATCTAGGAAGGTGGCTGGGAGGGGCTAGAGGGAGAAAGGGGAATGAGAGAAAATGATGTGACACTATTTCATTCTTTTAAGTGGAAAAGTAAAATAAATAAAAATCAAAACAACAAAACTTTTTTAAAAAGTAATTTCCAAACCAGGCAGTGGTGGTGCATGCCTTTAATCCCAGCAGAAGCAGGTGGATCTCTGTGAGTTTGAGGCCAGCCTGGTCTACAAGAGCTAGTTCCAGGACAGTTAGGGCTACATAGAGAAACACTGTCTAGAAAAAACAGAAAAAAGTAAAAAAAAAGTAATTTTCAACAGTATTCAGTCACAACAAAGGGAAAAGTAATAAATACATCCTGCCCCTCCACTATTGTCTGCTTAGTATCTACTGACACTTTAGTATGTTAGTGTCTTTAAAAAGTGTCACCCTTGGTGATCCTTACAAACACCCACTCAGGCAGGAATTTTTATCTCACAATCATCAGTTTGGGTTAAAATATTTACATCTGTATTCAATATAAAGTAGAGTAACAAGAAGCCAACCTGCCTCAAACTCCACAGCATGGATTTTCTTCTCCATCAAAATATCTACCAATAAAATTGGGACTGGTGGCACTTGTGGCCCATCCAACATCCTTTGCTACCTTCCCCCATGAAAGCAGAACCTTGACTTTATATGGGGTCATCCCAGCAAGGAAAATGATGGATTTCCCACATTCTTCCATTTAGCCTCCCTTGCAGCTAGAACATGTGACCCTACTATGGCCAAGAAGCCATGACTGAATATTGCTGTTGAGAAGGAAGGTTACCGTGGGAAAGCCTTTGTTTCCTGAAACCAAAAAGATGGAGCTTCCATCTCTCCATACTTGAGGAGTCCTCCTCTTTCCTGTCTTGAATGCAGATATGACAGCTGAAGCTTTGAAAGTCACAGAAAGGCCATCAGACCTCCCTTTGCTGTCTCCCAAAGGATTGAGTGCTTGACCTTCATTGTCACTTTACTGTGATGTAAAACTTTCTTCCTTACCCAAGAAGTATACTTTGTGATGGCCAAGTTCATGTTGAGCATTTTTGTTTCTTGAGGAGTACACACTGTCATCAATGTCTTCAGGGTGGTCTATTCAATCTCTTAGTAACTTTGGTGTTTATGAGTAGGGAGTTATCACCATTAAATAGCAGAAAAACAACAGGGAACCTGCCTCTCAACAAGTGATGCCTTGAGCCACCCTGGGGTTCTGCCCGAGAGATGGATGCCATTAGATGCAGCCCACCGACCTTGACCAGAGCCATGAGCCAGATAAATCACCTAAATATACATATGGCAAGATGACTCGGTGAATAAAAACACTTGCCTTGAAAACCTGGGGACCTGAGTTCAATCCCTGGAATCCAAAGTAGAGTGTGTACTTGTACTCACGTACACAATAATAAAAATCCAAGATGAGTTTAAAACAAAAATAAATATTGGGAAGACAACATTTATGTCCTAATGGATTAGGATTTACTTTTGTTGTTACCATTTGTTGTTTTTGTTTTGGTGTTTTTCAGAGCTGGGGGCTGAAGAGGACATATTAGGAAAGAGCTCCACCACTGAGCTACAACCCAGCCCTCTTGCTTTTTAACTTGAAGCACAGTCTCACTATGTGGCCCAGACTAGCCTTGGACTCTCCCTCCTCCTGTCCCAGCTTCCCAAGTACTAGGATGACAGGTGTGCACCACCACGCCCAGCTTGGGTAAGTAATTCATAAACCTGAATCAGAAACTTGGGGTTGGGGTTGGAGTCAGTGGTAGAGCCCTTGTCTAGCATTCACAAGGTCCCGGGTTCAATTCCCAGCACCACCAAAGAAAAATGACACACAGAAGCACACTGTCTGCTTACTAAATGCAGATTCCTGGGCCCTCCCTCCAATTCCAGCTAAATTAGAATGTGGTCATTAGATGCTGGGCATCCACACTTTAGCCAGTTAGCCCCCCACCCCCCAGTGAGGCTAGGGTAGAAAATCCAGTGAACGCATATTTTAGCAGGCTCATACCCTTCCTGGTCCTAGGGAAACAGAAAGCTGAAATTGGCATAATTGCTCCGGAACAGACACTGGGCAATATGGATCAAGCTAACCAACAGAGAAAGATGTATTCCCTATTGTGCTGCCTAGTTCTATGTCAACTTGACACAAGCTTGAGTCATAAGAGGGAAGGAACCTCAATTGAGAAAATGCCTCCATTATATCTGGCTGTGATCAATGGGGGAGGGCCCAGCCCATTATGGGTGATGTGATCTCTATGGTGGTTGGCCTGGGTTCTATAAGAAAACAGACTGAGCAAGCCATGAGGAACAAGCCAGTAAGCAGCACCCTCCATGGCCTCTGCATCAGCTCCTGCCTCCAGGTTCCTGCCCTGTTTGAGTTCCTGCCCTGACTTCCTTGGATGATGAACTGTGATGTGGAAGTGTAAGCTGAATAAACAATTTCCTTCCCAACTTGCTTTGGTCATGGTATTTTATTTCAGCAACAGAAACCCTGACTAAGACATCTATGATTCCATCTCCTTGACCAACACACCGGCACCTCTATTCCCCAGTTTCAAATGGAAACCACCTTGCAGAGAGACAAAAACAGAACCAAGTGCTCACTGTCAGTTTGTGTCTTTGCACAGTTCTGGGGATTGAACCCAGGGCCTTGTGAGCACCACAAAAGCAGCTGCATCACTGAGCTACATTCCCAGCCACGGAGTGCCCAGCTGTGTCAGTCATCGCTCTCTTGGGAGTCATCAGAAGATGGAATAGAAGGAAACATGTGAGAAACTTAAGCTGTAATAATCAGCCCAGCATGGTGGTTCTTGGTGACAGAGGGTAGGAGAGGTGTGGTGGTGGCCTTCAGGGATTATCTATATCAGCTTTCCCAGGTATAGTTCTGAGCAAAATGTGCTGTGGGCCCCGTGCAAAGACCAGAGCTGGGCTAACACATCCCATAATTTCTCTTCCAGCAGCAAATGCTAGCCAAGCCTTCTCTCCCTCGAAACTCTGAGAAAGGCAATGCCTGTGCCTCCCAACACACTTCCCACATCAACATTTATCTTATTTCATCCCCGGGATCGTGTTACCATCTGACAGGTGAGCACAGACATATATCCGAGGGTGGCAAGCGCTGTATTAAAATATACACACACAAAAACTCCTCTTTCCAAATGATAGCCTCCTGCATACTATCTGGCTACATTTAAAAACATGCCAGAGAAATAAAAAGGCCTGAAAGTGAATCAGAGAGGCGCATTCATGCTGATGACCCAGTAGGCCAAGACTGAAGACTTCAGGCTTCAGGAACTCACAGCCAGAGACCAGCCGAAGCACCAAACTCCACGATACACGGCCACGCCACTAAAAGGGGAACCCTCCTTTGCTCTGAGCTCCACAGCCACTACCCCCTGGCAAATGCCAGCTAGTAGGAATTCCCAAATGAAACCAATCAATGTGGACAGCTAGGCCATTTTGTGAGAAGGAAGGTGAGGGGCTGATCCATCTGACATTTTGAACAAAGTGGATGCCCAAGAATTTCAGAGCTCAGGCCTTTCCCAAAAGCCTGAAAGCTTCCTATGAGAAAATGACCTCTGAAAGAAAATAGTTCCTTCTCTCTCTTATGGTAACTTTGTAGTCATCCCTGTCACTGGCTCTCAGCAAACTGCTTCCAACTCCGCTCAAGTTCTGTTGGAGAGATGCTAGGAAGAGCCAAACATAGCGCCTTCTCCTGGACCCCCATCCACCAAGTCTCACCAAGACAGCCCAAGAGGATTTTCCCCACGCCACCTAGTGCAAGAACCACTCCAGGCAACCGTAATATTGTTGCTTTTTACATATTTTGGGCCTTCATCAACCCCGGTATGTCAAATGATTGTGTTAGAAATGAGTAGTTCCCTGGGGGATTTATTTTTCAAATGCATCTGGTTTCCTAAGATGTCTATGGGGGGTGAGGAGTGAGACACAGAGCAAAGGGTCGAGTCTTTCCATTCAGGCAGCCCCATCAAACCAGTCAAAACCACCTTTGACCACCTGCAGAACGTACAAGGTCACATGGGTTCCCTGCAGCTCTTTAACGTGTCACCCAGCACACAAGCCCCCTGTGGCATATAAACAAATCCCCAAACACAAAACAAAAAAAAGAAAGAAAAGAAATAATAATAAAGTAAAGAACTCCCTCCTCCCACAGGAAAAGAATAATCATGGCAACAGCTACAACCCATAATAATAAATACGGAACAGCAATTATTACTGCTACCATCGCCACCCGGCCGAGCACAGACAACAGCCGCACTGGGAAGGGACATCCGCGCTGGCTTCGCCAGGTGATAAATCATAGCGCATCAGTCGTGCCCACCTGCTTCACCCTTCCCCTCCCGGGGCCCTCCCTCAACAAACAGAACCCCAAAGGGATGGGGGCGGACTGGAGAAGAGGAAGGGGAGGAAGGATTGCCTCCCCCCCATCCCATCCCAGGCAACACCTACCTCCAGGGTCCTGATCTCCTTCTGCGTGAGGTCGTTGGAAGCTGCACACTTCGTCCTAAGCCCTTCCAGATTGGAGATGCTCAGGTCTATCATGTTCTGAACCAGCTCGCACTGCTGCAAGGCTTTCTGCAAACTCAGAGGTTGCTGTTCCTCGCTTTTCGTCATGTTTTCCTCATCCATCGCTTGCTCTGCAACCCCCCTTCCCCTCCTCCTCCTCCACCTCCTCCCAGAAAGAAAAAAAAGGGGGAGGGAGGGAGTGGAGATAGAGGGAGTCCACCCCCCTACGCCTCTCCAACCACTGCGACTTCTCAGCAGTGTCTCCTGAAGAAACCCAACATCTCACACAAGCTTGAGGGGGTGGGGGTTGGAGGAGGGGACAAGAGCCAAAATTTATTATTATTTTCTGGGGGGAGTATCAGGCAGTCTGCATTAGAATATCCCTTGTCTCTCTCTCTTTCTCCGTGTCTCTGGTCTCTAAAAAGGGAGAGATGCCCGTTTGTCAGAAGCCAACCAGGTGGTAGGGTGCAGTCTGTACACTTAGGAGGAGGAGAAAGAGGAGGAGGGCGAGGAGGAGGAAGGGGAGGAGGAAGAGTGGAAGGAGGAGGCAGAGGGAAATAGAGCTCACGCTTCGCACACCGGCTCCGTGAAGGGCGGAATTATGTGTATATAAATCTATTTGGCCGGCTGGCTTTTATGTCAAAAAGGAGCGCGCCTGCCCCCCTCCCGGTCGCGGTGACACGGCATGGTCTGCGGGTCCCCGCGCTCAGCGCGCTCTCAGGATGCTGTGCGCACGACTGGTGCGGCTGCGGCGCCCACTGCGGCTGGCTGCGGTCTGCTCCCCGCGACAACGCTGCTGCTGCTGCTGCTGCTGCTGCCGCCGCTGTCGCCGCTGCTGCTGCCGCCGCCGGGCTCCAGGGGTGACGGCTCTTGCCTCGCTCCACACCGACATCTTGCCTGTCAATCACAGGGCGGGGTGGGGAGCGGAGCGAGGGATGCAGCGCCGTGCGCGCAGCCGGTCCCCGGGTCCCCCCACCCCGGGCGCGCCTGGGACCCGCCGGCAGCAGGCGGCGCGTGCACCTGCCCTCAGGGCCACCCTCCAGCCTGGGAGGCGGGGTCCCTCAGGACTGAGGGGCTCGCGTGCTGAGCGCAGTCGCTACGATGCGGTGGGGGTGGGAGGGGGGCGGGCCGGCCCCCGAGGTGGCGGGGAGGCCGGGCCCGGGGGCGGGGAGAGGTACTTGGTGGCCAGGGTGGGGGTGGGGGCCACTACGCCAGCCTGGATCTCGCGAGACGAGGCCGGAGCACCGCTCAGCAGGTGCGCGGGGGCCCAGGAGCAGGTGCGCGCCGGGCTTGCTGGGCTCCGAGTCTGTGCGCCCCGCCTGGCTTTGCGGGTGTCTTCTTGTGATTTGGGCGGGGATGGGGGGGACAAACCTTAATGGGTTTCCCTGAGTTGGGGAGGATATGGGGACGGCGACTACCTGGGCCTGATCTAACTAGGGTCCATTTGCAGAGAGACTGGAAGCCTTGTCTTGCTCGCGATTGCCACCTTGTCCCACAATGGCCTGTGGAGTCTTAACTCCAGCTACCAACCCTACCCTTTGTCAGCCGCCTAGGTTAAAGGAGTAAACAACACCTGTATACTTTTTAAAGACACTGAGGGGGGGGGGGAAGGATACTTTGTGACAAGAAAGGGGAGAGATATAAGAAATTCACAGTTCACTATGCAGTTAATAAAGTTTTACTGGAGTGCCTCTGTTACAGATACACTTTTTATTAATTGATGGGGGGGGGGTGCGAGCACCGCAGTGTGCCTATGAAGTCAGAATACAGCTTGTGAACTCAATTCTTTCCTTCCATAATGGGTCCCAGGAATTTAACTTAGGTGTCCGTACTCGCTTAGTACTCTCCACCAATGTTATAAATTCATAAAAGACACAGTCTTTCTTCTTGGCGACGTGTGATGGTGCCTGCCTTTAATGCCAGCACTAAAGAGGCAGAGGCAGGCGGATCTCTGGGAGTTCGAGTCCAGCCCAGCTGATCTATATAGTAAGTTGCAGGATCCTGTCTCAAAAAAAATTATATTATAGTTTGGATAGAAAGGAACTGAGATGAATTGCCCCCAAAGGGCTTTATTAGGAGAACAGCATCCATCAGGATAGCACATGGGCAGCTGGGCAGGCTGCAACCTCACAATTACAACCACCCACTTTTGAATGGTTCATGGCTCCTTCTGTCCTGTTGTAAAGCCAGTGGTTGCAGCAGAGATGGCATGGCTAAAATATTTACTATCTGGCTCATTCCAGGGAGCTATGCCAACTCTGGATTAAATCAGTGTTCTCTATACAAATTCTGCCCAGACCACACTGCAATTTAGTTCTCTTCCCTCTCACTTTTTCTTCTGGCCATTCGGGGGGAAGTCAAATGTTGTCTCAAGAAGGCCACCCATCTCTGACTGACAGATCCAATAGTATTCCTAAGGAACGGCCCACAGGCTGAACCTGAAGTCCCAGCCCCTTGGGAGGCTGAGGCAGGAGGACTGCTGGAACAAAGGAGTTTGAGGTCAGCCTGACAACATAGTAAAATCCCCTGGGTGGGGGGGAGGGGAGAATATATTAGCAAAAAGCACCCTTTTCTCCCATCTCTGGGATTCGAGGAAGCAGCGCTAAGAGCAGTGTGAGATTCAGAACAAATGCTGAAGTCCACCATCCCTAGAGAAAGCCACCTGTGGTGGAAAGAGAATGGACCCCACTGGCAGCCAAGTTGGATCAAATTGATTTTTTTAAAGACTTGAGCCACCTGCTTTAGAATTCACAGAGTGGAATCACGATGTTCCAAATTTTCCTTGGGCTGGGTGTGCTGTTCAGTGGCGGAGCACTTCACCTGGCACCATAGACGCAGAACAAGCTCTATCTGTAACCAGGTCAGGCAACCAATTTTAAGCACTATGAAGTCTCCAGAGTCGGGTTGCACCACAAAGTTGTCTCCTTTCCTATTTTCTCTGGTTTTTTGTTTCGTTTGTTTCCCTTGAGCCTATTAATATGTTACTTTCAAACCTTCTCTGACTTCACTGCCTATATGCCTATGAGGCCCTTTCTAGTTACTATGTTTCTCTTTGTTTTCAATGGTCCTAATTCTTAGAGAGCCTTGTTGAATTTCTCTTTTGTGCCAGATACTGTGTATGAGACAGTACATAGTCTCTAGACGACCCTGGCTGGCCGGAAAGAGAATGGGGAATGACTCCAGCTCAATTGGCTGAGTTGGGTGAAGGGTGTTTCTGCTTCAATGTGACACCAACTTCTTGGTTTACAAAATCCCCTCTCCCTGCTCCTATGTCCTGACCCTTGGAAGCATGGCAAGACTTTTTGGAAACTGTTTTGTTTTTCTGGAATTTTCTAAGTGGCTTCTCAGCCTTTTGCCCTTGGTGCATCCAAAGCTGCCAGTTATGCCAAGCTAGAAAATGCCATTTTCAGACTTGTGTTTAGTTCTTCTCTGGGATAACGAAGTCCCCAAAATTCCTTGTTTTGTCCCCACAGACAGATGAGATGAACACAAGTTCTTCTGGTTTCTCTGCCCTGCACCCACCTCACAGCAACAGTCCATTTACCTGGTGAAAGTTTATCTAAGCCTCTTTCCTGACACCCATATCAGCTCACCTACTTATAATTCTCCTGTCTCTGGAACCTGAAATGTGGCCCTTCTGGTCCCAGTGTCTTAAACAGATCTCTTTTGTGCTTGTCTTTTGTTTTTGTTTTTCTGAGACAGGGTTTCTCTGTGTAGCCTTGGAGGCTATCCTGGAACTCCCTCTGTAGACCATGCTGGCCTCAAACCCAGAGATCCTCCTGTCTCAGCCTACGGAGGGCTGGGATTAAATACTTGTGCCAACACTGCCTGGCCACCCACAGATCTCTTAAAAGAATTTAGCAGGAGTCCATAGTGATGGTGGGAGTGAATTTGATACCATTCCAAAATGGCTTCTCTGCTTGTCATCAAAGATATTTCTACTGAAGCTTAAACGACAAAAATAATCGTATGTCATCAACTGGCAGAGCAACTGAGAGTGCATCTTTGTCCTGTTTGAAAACAGCCCACATTATGGATGCCACCTCTCTATAGGAGAAATGCTCTTTTTTCAGAATTGACTTTTACATTTTTATTAATCTTTATTATGTGTATTTATTGATATGTGTGTGTGCACAAGTGTGTACATATGAGCTGTGTGTGTAAGACACAATTGATATCTTTTGAGTGTCAATTCTTTCTACCATGTGGGTCCCCTGGGATCCAACTCAGGTCATCAGGGTTTGCAGCAAGCACCTTTACCAGAGCCATCTTGCAGGCCCTGAAGTCCTCTTTCAGAATCCTTCTAGCCATCAAGTACCATGTGATCTGACTCTACCATGAGACGCCAAACATGGAAAGGACAGTGGAGAGGAATCTGATGGGAAACAGTAACACACCTGCTTTCAGGTATCCAGACCCACAAGAGTGGAGATGTCTATGCTGAGGGGCCTGAGGCATGTCCACAGACATCCCTTATGGCTGCTTTGGACATCACCCTTCCCACACAGCCCAAGTTGTTTCTCTAGTCTTCCCGGAGAGTCTTGCTAACCATGCCCTCCCTGGTCTGCAGTCCTAACTAGTGGGTGGTGGGTAGATTCAGTAGAAATCTTCTCCCTCCCTGCCCCACCTGCTCTCTCTAGGGTCTCTTGTAGCCTATAGCCTGGGACTTACTATATAGCAGAGAATAATTTGGAACTTAGCATCCTGCTCCTCCTTCTCTTCCAGTGCTGAGATGTAGCCCCAGATGGTTCAGGAGTCTGCAGTGGACCCCAGGTAGGGGTGGCTAGCTCCTTCCTTGCCTGCTCTCCATCACGTGGATGGCTGGGCAGGAAAGGGACCATCCACAATGAGCACTGCCAGGCGCATATCATCAGCTGCTTCACTGTGTCCTGTCAGCCACCCGCCTACTGACCCAAGGGGCACACAGGGAATCAGTGGAGACCTACAGATCTGGGAATCCAGAGCCAGGTGGTGGTGGTGCACACCTTTAATCCCAGCACTGGGGAGACAAAAGAAGGCAGATCTCTGTGAGTTCAAGGTCAGCCTGGTCTATGGAGTTTCAGGACAGCCTCCAAAGCTATACAGAGAAACCTGTCTCAAAAAAAGGAAAAAGAAAAGATTTGGGACTCCCATCAGGGTTAAGGCACACAGTGGTGACCTCCCATGTACCTGTTTCCATTCTTGCCCTAGGAAGCACCCCACAGCTCCCAGAACCCCTTGGCTCAGTCTTTTCAGGGTGGCTCAAGCCCAAATATGCTTTGAGATTGTCACCTGTCCCCTGGGGAACAGGATAAGCCTGTCGGGGAAACTTCTAGATAAGATCCAGACCTTATCATGTATAGGCTGGAGGTTGAGAGTTACAGATGGCGAAGGGACAAGTCTGACCACCAGAGACGAGTTGGCAAAGGGACAAGTCTGACCTCCAGAGAGGAAGTTTACCGTCTCCCATCACCTTTGAGGTTTAGCCAAAATTTTGGAACACCAGAAGTGACACACACTACCCTTCCTGATTGGTGATGAGCTGGTCTCAAGGTTTTCCAAATTACCTTGGGCTCACAAATTGGGGAGGAGTGGTAGATTAGGAGGCAAAAGGACCATCCACCTGGACCAACATTGACGTCATAAACACTGTGCAGCCAAGGATGACCTTGAACTTATTGATATTCCTGCCTCCACTTCCCAAGTGATAGGAAGGCAGGATGGTGTCACCATGGGTGGTTTACGAAGTCTGGGGATCAAGCT